AAAAAAAAAAAAAAAAAAAAAAAAAAAAAGGTGGAATGGTGAAGGTAAAAACCTGAAATTGTGGGGCCCTGAAGCCCAAGGTAACACCTTTGGACTCAATTCTTGCAGCCCGAACAAGGAGCCTTGTTGGGGATGAATTTGTGTTGCGTTGCAAGCGTAGAGGATGAAAAGCCAGTTTGGAAACAGAGCATGCTTGTGAGAGTGAGAAGCGAGTTGCAGAAGAACCTAACTGCAGAAAAGGTGACCCAATTGAAGACACTTTGAGTCTCAATCTCAATGTCATTGCTGTGTTACTCCAACGTTCATCTCAACCTCAATTTTCCATCTTCAATATCATCCTTTTCTTCATCACTCTTGGTTCTTTTCTGGTCTTCGTTTGAGTTTTTTTTGGGGTCGTTCTGGTCCATGTAACCGCGCTTAATGGATGTAGGCCCAATTATTGAAGCCCAATTATTAGAGTCCAAATCAAATAAAAAATTCGGCTAAATTATATTTTTGTGTTTTGTCTTATTTTTAAAAATTATTTTGTTTTTTAATCTTTTAAATATTTAATTTGATATTTTAAATTTGAATGAATTTGATTCTTTTGAAATAATTATTATTTTGAGACATGATTATGAATTATTCTTTGATCGATTAAAAATGTAAAATTTGACATTATATTATTTGCATGAAAATTATGAAATACAATTGATATTCAAACTCAAAAAAATTATAAACATAGTAAAATTTGATTGAAAAAATTTTGTTTTTTTTAAAAAAAGAAAGATCACTTGCTCATTGGAATCATTTTTCCAGGATTTTTTTTAATAAGTCAATGAGCATGTGTTGCTGGGATAACAGGAAAATTTCTCAGTTATAAATATTATTGTGTAAGTTGCATTGATTAAATTAAGATAATATAAATTAATTTTGAGAAAAGAACATCGATAGAGAAATGAGACTCAAACGATTAAAGGGAGACAAAAGATAAATGTATTTTGTCGATGTCATTATGACAAAGGAAAGAAAAAAGTAACCCCAAGCGTGTGGTTCAGCGGTCCACGCTTAAGCAAGGTCAGGAGTTCGAATCCTGCCTTGTGTATGCAGTCGCGTTAAATCTTAGGGCCAGCTATCTCACCCTTTGAAGTGCCTCCAACGTTAAAAGGGTGAAAATAAAGGTGGGAAAGTATTTAGATAAGCCTATTTGAAAGAGAAAAAGAAGTTTCATTTAATAAAAGTAGGGTAGTTTTTATTATTGTTATTATAAATTATGTACATATTATTTTAATTTCTTATTATTGGATCGACTCTAGTAATTTAAAAATAATAGTTCTTTCATTCTAATTAGCTTGATATTGTTTTTTTTTCTTTCTTTTAAGTCTAAAATTTTCATATTATAGTATAACATAAAATAGAATATGTGTTTTATTTTAATAATAACTAATCCAATATTTATTTATTTAATTATGATATACAATATATAATTAATCGATAATATTTATAAGAAAATTGTTACGATAAACTAAAATTAAACTAAAAAAAAGTGAAACCATATGAAATAATTAAAAGATAAAATTTATATACATTTTCTTAAGTGGTTCTACTTTATTTTAATTTGATAATCTACCTAACGAGAATATCTAATTAAATATCGATATAAATTATTAAAATGAAACTTCAATTCTAATCATAAAATAATATTAACAAAACATGAAAATTAGTTTATGACTAAAAATCAATCCATGGCACATGCCACAACACAACAACCGCATATAAATAAGGGAAAGAACATAAAATTAGATACGAGGTTGGTTCCTCGAATTTACTAATATAATAACGGAAGGCCGGACCACAGTTTGTACTTTGGAACTACACATGAAAATTAAAATGATAATAAAATAAACTATCTATATAAATATCATTATTGTAATACTATGTTTCATTAATTGATTATTTAATTTTATTAATTAAAGGATTTATGTTGATATGTTGTTTTAATTTATAAAATTTTAAAGGAGAATTACGAAAAATATTTTTTACTTTTCTTGAAATCTTAAATGGGGATTCTGATTTTACATATTTGGTAGCTATTTAAAAAAGTTTAGAAATATAATTTTTAGAAACTCTTTTTTATCATATTTTCTCATAAAAACATTCCTATGAGAAGATAAGAGTCTATCTTTCTCAAATTAGGGAAAAAAATTAATACATATAAAAAGATCACAATATCTTTTTTTTTTTAAATAAGATTTGTCTTTTTTTCTCTTTCTATTTTTCTTTTTTCCTCCCTTTCTCTCTCTGTCTCTCTCACTCTCACTCCCCATGATCTCTTCCTCTCTCTCTCTCTCTCTCTCTCTCTCTCTCTCTCTCTTTCTATTTCTCTTTCTCCCTCTCCATTTGTCTCTCTCACTCTCATTCTCACTCCCTTTTTTTCCTCTTTCTCTCCCATCACACTTTCTCTCACATCTCTATTTTTTTGTCTCTTTCTTGTATTTTATTATTTATTGACCTTATCAATTTTAATAATATTATTAAATGTTTTTTTTTACAATTTTATAGTATTTGTTAACACTTATTCATTTATTTATTTTATTTGAATGAAATAAATAATATATTTTTATCCTTCTTAATTATTATGTAACATTTTTCTTTGTTATTTCTTATGTTTTTTTGTATTTAAATAATTTAAACTATAAGTTTTCAATTTTTTAAAAATAATTTAATGTCATATTAGTAATAAGATTTGAGTAAATAAATTTATCTAATGAGTTTATTTTAATAAAGAATATTTTTTATAAAATGTATTTATATAACTAGGAATATAGTATTATAACTAAACATGAAAATCTTTAATTCTTGAGAATCATATATGAATATTCCCATGAACCTTTATGAGTAACTAAATATATTTTAACTATTCTTAGGAATCATGATTCTCAAGATTTGTAACTCCTAAGAATCACGATTTCTAGGTATGAAAAAACTTTTCCTCTACCAAACGTCGTTTATATAAAGTTTTCTTAAAGGCTTAAACTTCATAAGTTCATTCCTTCAGAAAACTAAAGAGAAGTTTTAGAGAAATGAACTTTGGAGCCAAAAGAGTCATTTTCTTCTTCTAACTCCATAGAAGCATCTCAATTCTTCCTTTAGAAAAAACTTTTCCTCTACCAAACACCCTCTAAGGATAAAGGAATTCTTAGGAGTTTAGTTATTTGAGGATTATTTTGTATTGAAGTTAAAGTTGACCAAGTTTAGGAGAAGGTATATAAGGTTTCCTTAAAGCCTTAAACTCCATAAGTTCATTCTTTCAAAAAACTAAAGAGAAGTTTTAGAGAAATGAGCTTTGGAGCCAAAAGAGTCATTTTCTTCTTCTAACTCCATAAAAGTGTCTCAATTCTTCCTTGTAGCAAAGTTATGGTGCTCAATTGGAGATCCAAAGCTAGGAAGCTAAGAATCAAAGGTCAATGTTGTCGTATGATGAACTCATGGGAAACCTCCATTTTTCCCTCTTTTTCTATTGTTTATAGGAGATTCGAGATAAGGAAAACTTGTTGTTTAACTTTCTAAGATGAATATGTTGATTTGTTATGTTGAATTCATGCTTGAAACATGATTCGTGTTGATTTTGAAGAGTAAGACTCTAAGTGTTATATTTTGGAATTTCTTGTTGATTGGAAGAAATTTATGATCTTATATCTTTTTGTTGATGCATATTGTTCCTTTTGATGAATTTGAGTTGTTTATGATATATATGTGTTGAAATGAGAATTGCATTTTGGATTGAAGAAGGATTCTGGTGATTTGTGATTGATTGGATATTTGGGAGAATCCCATCATTTACGTCAAGCATGGGATGAGTTGCATTGCGCGTGAGTGAGCTACAGGCTCTCTATCTCATTTTCATCAAGCATGGGATAAGTGGCGTCGAGCGTGAGTGAGCCAAGGACTCTATCTTATTTACATTGGGTGTAGAATGAGTGGCATCAAGCATGAGTTAGCTAGAGGCTTTCTATTTCATTTACACCGAGCATGAGATGAGTGGCACTAGGCATGAATGCTTCAAAGGTTGTTTGTCTTATTTGACATTGAGCGTGAGCTTTATCATGTTAGGCATGAATATGTTGAATGTAACATCCCGATTTTCACAGATTATATGAAGGCTCAAAGCCCAATATTTTGAATTTTAGTAGCCTAGAACAGGTCATTCCCAAACTGGAACGGGCCGTTCCAAACTACTAAAAAGGCCTATAAACCCTAGTTGGGAATGGGGCGTTCCCAAACTGGAATGGGGCGTTCCAAACCATCAAAATGGCCTATAATCCTAGTTGGGAACAAGCCATTCTAGATTAAGAACAAGTCGTTCCAAACATGGCTGTTATGAGTTAAAATCAACTCCAGAACGAGAAGTTCTGGTTTAAGAACAGGCCGTTCCGGATCTGAAATGAGCCGTTTTGGCCACTCTTGACATCTATAAATAGTAGACTTTGGCACTGCTCCTGGACACACTCTCTAAAGACCAAGGAGAATCAAGAGAAGAAGATCAACCAAATTCTACTCTAGTCTCGTCTTCTGCTTATCCAGGTAAGGAGGGAGTGAGAAACCTCGCTCTAGGTGTGAGAATGTATGTTGGGTAGTGGGATTGGCCCCAATCCTATGTTTGTTGTATGCTCATGTATGAGGGATTTTTCCCAATTATATCTGTTTCATATATTGCTCTTCTTATATGTAAATAATTGTATGATTTGATATCTCTATGGGTTCCTATGAGAAATCCTAAGGGGATGCATTGGTGATTGTAATAGGAGATTGTTTGAAGAGGCAATTATATGAGTAAATTGTATTGTTTTAAATGTTTATTGTATGAATTAGAGTGTTTTGTGAGTTCTTGAGAGAACCCTATGAGAAACAGGCAAAATATGAATATTTTCTGTTTTGCTTTTTGATTGTTCTGTTGTGTTCCTTGTTGGATGAGATGTATGAATATGTGTTTAATTCCGCAAATAGACAAGTTTTGATATAAATTCAAGTGCTCTGTGGAGGCTATGTGAATATGATGAGATTATGTGAAAAGTGAATATGAGACATGAGATATGAGGATACGTGATAATGAGACATGATAATGTTATATGACAATGAGACATGATAATGTTATATGATAATGAGACATGATAATGTGATATGAGAATGCATAGAGTCTTGATTTACATGCATCATTTGCATAAATGTTTTTAAGGGTGCGATATGGAATACACCGCCAGGGAAGGCCCCTTTGTGTAAAAGCCTGGGGATTAATCCTTGGGGATAGCTCGGTTTGTAAGTCCTAGTCTCGTCCATTGTGTGCATGGGATGTATCTTGCGCGGCTTAGCTATCCCGACTAGACCTTGGTAGTATGTCCTTCTAGTGA